GTTGTTACAAATATAATATTAGGAAGCAGCTTAGTCAGTATATTGTATAAATCACAGTTGTGTGCTGTTTTTAAAAATGGACTCCTAGCCGGGCGGTGGTGGCGCACGCCTTTAATCCCAGCACTCGGGAGGCAGAGCCAGGCGGATCTCTGTGAGTTCGAGGCCAGCCTGGGCTACCAAGTGAGTTCCAGGAAAAGGCGCAAAGCTACACAGAGAAACCCTGTCTTGAAAAACCAAAAAAAAAAAAAAATAAATAAAATAAAAATAAAAATGGACTCCTGCCCATAGGTTTTGCCTAAGTTTGCAGTACCAGAAAACAAACAAACAAACAAACAAAAACCCAACAACAAAGACATATGAATGATTTCTACTGTACTCCTGCAAAATAGTGGCAGTAGGTCTTCGGTGTTGGGAACTTCTGTAGTCCCTTCCCTAACAGAGTAGCAAGGAGTACCTGCAGGTGAGAACCATGCCTAGTGAGTGAAAAATCAGATGTGAATGTCCTCCTGGGAAGAAGGCTTTAAATTTAATCAGACTATATCCACCTAACTACTACTACACTAGCTGGCACTATTTGGCCCTTTCATTATGAAGCATGCAGAATCCACACCTGAGTAAGACTTTGGGCTATAATTCTCCCTAGCAATCTTAATAGCACCTGCTGCTACTATCCCGTTCTGGAATGCAACCAAAATTAATGACATTGCCTGTATTCTTTTAGAGGCCACGGTAGCCTCCCTGGCCAACATCATCTTGGGAGGTAACCTACTCACAGCAGTGGATTTTACTTAACAACATTCTGGTCGCACTTGTTTTTATTCTCACAAGATATACTTGATAGCATTTATAAATTGAACTCTTAAAAATCCTTAGTCCTTTAGATACTCTTGTTTGTCTCTTTCATGGGTCATTAAATCTAAAAATCGCTTAAAGGTTAGTATTATGTTTTGTGCATCTAATGAAACTTTTAAGAGAAGATTGCCAGGGCAACAATGTAAAGGCTAGAGCCACCATCCCATAACAAATGGTGTGGTTATGAAAATGGCCTTGGTGAAGCACTCTGAAAATCAGCTATTGAGCAAGTGTCAGGAGATCAGAAGCTTACAGCTCAGAAGATTCTAAACCAAACTGATAGCAAGGTTTAATACATGGGAAGATTTTATCCTTTGTCACAGTTTTTCTGACTGTCTCACTCTGCATACATTTACAAGGCCTCTGAATGTTTTTATTATTTTTTTCAACCCTGATAAACTTGATGTGTCTACCTGTAGTGCACAAGGAAATAATCACCCAATTTTTTGGCTGTGCTGTACCTGTCTCCTTGCTTCTGCCTATTCCCCTGTCTTCAGCTGAATGCACTATCTGCATACTGCAGAGAAATGTATATGATCTACTCAGGAGACAGGTGACTACCATTTGTCAAGCTTAATTTAGCATGTCTCGTTTTACACAGAAGTGTACTAAGTGATGTTTATTATATTACTAATCCTGGGCCCTACCTGTAATCAGAGCACAGCTGCTTTCAGCATCAACCAAAGCCCAAATATTTTTAACACTAACATAACATTGGTTTTTCAGTCACTGGGCATGGTTCTCACCTGTAGGTATGGCACTACACCACATAGAGGAAGACAGTCTCATTGGGATGTCCATACTCTCTTCTCAGACTTATTCTGGATAAAGCATTCAGCCTTAGTTACATGACTCCACACCCACTTTGGGACCATGCAATTGCTGGCACAGCAGGGATGTGCATTATCCATACCACAGGGAAAGGTTAGCCATGTAAGAACTCCTGTTGCAAGTTTTTCCCCTGTCAGGCTGCTCAGACCATGCAATAAAATCACTACCAGTATTTTAATTAGAGCTTTATTGCTATAAAGAGATGCTATGACCACAGCAACTCTTAGAAAACATTTAATTGGGGCTGATTATACAATGTTAAAGGTTTAGTCTATGATCTTCATGGCAGCACACAGGAGACATGGTGCTTGAGAGGTAGCTAAGAGTTCTATATCTAGATCAGCAGGTAGCGGGAAGAGAGTAGGCCTTGTTTGAGCATGTGAAACCTCAAAGTATGCCAGTGACATACTTCCTCCAATAAGGCCATACGTATTCCAAGAAGGCTACATCTTTTTTCATTTTACATACCAATCGCAGATACCCCTCTCATCCCTCCTCCCGCTCCCCCCACCATCTATCCCCCACCCCCCCCCCCCCCGACCCACCCCGTCATCCACTCCTCCAATAGGATAAGTTATCCCATGGGGGACAGCAAAACCTGGTACATTCAGTTGAGGCAGGACCAAGCCCCTCCCAACTGTATCAAGGGTGAGCAAGGTGTCTGACTATAGGTAATGGGATCCAGAAAGCCAGCTCATGAAGGCCACATCTTATAGTGCCTCTCCCTATGGACCTATGGGGGAACATTTTCGTTCAAACCACCACAACCAGTTTCCTTGACCAGCCTAGTATATACTGTACATTTATGAAAATGTATCACTATAGCACTGAAATATGCATAATAGTGTCAGATTCCCATGAATCTCAATCTCACCCATCATCCCTTATGTCTGCTGTCCATCTTTTAGTGCCTGGATCAGATATTCCATTTTTGTACTTTTTTTTCAGTAAACAAAAATGAAAATTTTCATAATGTAATGGCTTAGAATTTCTATTGCTATGAAAGACACCATGGCTATGGCAGCCCATGTCAAAGAAAACATTTAATTGGGGTGGCTTACAGTTTCAGACGTTAATTTTTTATCTTTATGGTGGGATGTGGTGAGCAGGAAGACATTGTGCTGGAGCAGGAGCTGAGTTCTACATCTTTATCCTCAAGCAAGATTCTGTGTCCACACTGGGTGTACTTTGAGCATAGGAGATCTCAAAGCCTGCCCTCACACTGACACCCTTCCAACAAGGCCATACCTACCTTAGCAAGGATACACCTCTGTGGGGCGTTTACCCACCACCCCCACAGTTCCCCAGAGTTTTCTTGAGTGCGAGCAGCAGGAAATATTAGATAGAAGGATTTATATTGCAGAGATAAACAGATAAAAAATAAAGGATAGCCTCAAGAGGGCCTGGAACCTTTTCCAACGGGCCCTGACTGTCTCTGCCCCAGGGTTTTTATAGAGATGCCAAGGGGTGGAGCAAAAGACCTCCTCCCCCAGCACAGCCAAGTGCAGACCATCTCGGAAACCTGCACTCAGGCCCATGGTCCTAATCATCCTCTATGTGAATCTGCTGGGTAAAGCCACGAGGAACCCGAAAACGGGCTCCCACACACCTCCTAATAGTGGCACTCCCTATGAGCATAGGGGGTCAGTTACATTTAAACTACCACATGTCACAATAGGCAGATCTAAATGTATTGCCTCCCGAAACCTTAAGCTTCTGTCTCCAAATAGTTGGAAATATGGATGTGTGTAATCAACACGGGTATTGTGTAAGTTTTAAAGGCTAAGGGCATAAAAGCCATATGGGCACATATTGCTTTGTAATTAAATATAATTTTAATAGTATTTGAGTGGAATTACTCTGATTCCCCCAGAGATCAAAGTTAGCAAATGAAAGTGTCAAAAACAGATGGTGAGATACCTACTTTGTTCTTGGTTAAGATCACAGGGATTTCCCTGAAACTATATACAATTATTGCTTCTGGTCCCTATATTACTGAAGAAACCTCACATTTTTGTTGCAAGACATAAAAATCAAGCTTCACTTGAGCTGAAAGCGGCTTCGGTGAGCTTTCATAGTAATAAAGTTCTGTGCAAAATACTAGTGGAGGAGTCATCAATGGTCTTACCCAGATATAAACTGTGCCTACCACTATACTCACTTGTGAAACAGGGACTGTCCACTGATACCATAGTATTGCATTATAGGATGCAGCATATTTCTTGTTGGATTTGAGCCCTAATCGTTCACACATCATATTGAAGAATTAGTCAAATCTCCATTGTTGTTGCACTGAATGGGTTATCTTTATTATCCCACCCAAAAGAACATTGTGAAAAGCCCAAAGAGCATTGTAAGAGGGAAAAAATATGAGGCCAAATATTGGTAGAATTGCTGTCTCTTAAGTATGATCTGGTTACTGTATTCATGACTTCATAGCCACTGTTGTTACATGCACATGAGAGCCTCATAAGGCCTAAACACACTTAAAGGAGTTGTTAACAGTTAACGGATAGTAGATGTTAGGACATCAGCTTCTTCAGAAATAGAACTACATGTAAATTGCCAATTGTCTTCAAAATACCCTCTCACATATGTTTCTGCAAGCAATATGGATTATACTTAGTGCATCTCAACAACAGCAACAGTGTATGAGAGTCAAAGAAAGATGAGAGAAAGAATGGATTCAGCAGGATAGAGGGGGTTTAGAGAAGGAACTGGAAGATGTGTAAGATCAAAATAGATTATACATGTACATGAAATGTGTGAAAATCTAAGAATAAATGTGTTTAAGTAAAAAGAAATTGAAGAGCAAAGTGCTTAGAATCATATTCATTCCAAAACTGACTCATTACATGAAAGGAAAATGAATTTTTGTCTTTCCCATATAATTTCATAGATACTGAATATTTGAGCCAGGCATTAAATATGGATAGGAAGGTGACATAAGAGATGATAGGTGGGATTCAGAGGGAAGAATGTTCTGACAAAGCATGTGTAGAAACACAACAGAACATGACCCAAGTGTGGTATGTGCTGCTTACTTATCCACTGTGATCATTTGTTCTGAGTGGGAGGCCTGAAGAGGCAGCCTCTTTTATTCGTTTTATTATTTTAATGAGGAAATAATGAGAGCATACTGAGAAGTATTACAAACAAATGGATTATACCTCCTGAAAGAATACTCCACCTGTGGTCTAAAGGGTAAAAGTGGGGGCTGTAAATTCCATAGATCCACAGAAGGGAGCCTAGCAGAGAGCATAGTAATGACCCTGTAATGCTGGACTGTCCTGACTCAATTAAATATTTCTATGCAGGATTGGAGAGAAGAATCAGTGTTATGAGTATTTATTGCTGTTCTGGAAGACTGGGGTTCAAGTCTCAGCCCCAAATTGTGGATAATGATCACAACCTCCTATCACTCCAGTTCCAGGGGATCTGACACTACTCTTCATGCCTCTGCTGGCACTGCAAAATGTGATGCACATCCTTGCAGTCAGAACACTCAGAAAGTAAATCTATTTTTTAAAGTTTCTATGTGATAATGGAGGAGCCATTTGATGAAATTAGAACATGGAAGCTCTTCCTTGCAAATCTTTTTTTTTGGGGGGGGGACCCACTTTAATGAGAGTTGCTTGCTGAGAATGGCAAGCAATTGTAGCCTCATCAGAGACTACAATCTGTTTTTTAAAGTGACACCACCTACAACTAGCATGCATTAACTTCCAGTAGACACCTAGGGAAGGGTGATAGCCTCATGGGTCCCTACTGCCATGTAAAATATTGATGGACCTTGTATTGTGAAGCCTTGTGCAGATGATCACATCAGCAGTGAGTCCATGAGTACAACAACACTGTCATGTCCGGATGATTTTTTTTAGTATACTCCTTCCCAACTTCTGGCTCTGGCTTTTCTAGTCTTTAACTTCTGTCTTTCACAATATCCTCTGAACTTTAGAAGGGGCAGTTCAGTGGTTGCACCTAGCACAGAGTCTTCTAGCATCATTTATTCTCTTCAGGTTTTCCAGTTTGGAGTTTCTGCACTACCATGTGTCTACTGAAATGAGAAGCATCTCTGATGAAGGTTAATCATAACACTGTAATATAAAAATGAAAATTTAAGAGAATGGTTGACACATGATTTTGAGAAAAATAGCTGTACTGTGTCCCACTAACACCCATGAAATTCCATGCACCATATTCTTAACCATGCTTACAAAATCATGCATGAGTTTTCTCTGTGAAGGGAGCCTGAAATTCAATCAGAAAAGTGGTTCATCACTGTATTAGTTAATGGTGGGGAAGCATGGTAGCAAACAGACATGTCAGCTGGGGTAGGAGATATGACACCTTCAACAGCACGCAATGGAAAGAAGTGTAAGTTACTCAAGCCTCCTCCCCTTTAAAGCTTTCCCCTAATGATGCACTTTCTCCAGTAACCTGCACTACCTGAGCCTCTCAAAACAGTGCCACCAACTGGGGACTACATGTTCAAATGCATGAGCCTATAGGGGACAATCTCATTTAAGCCAGTGTAGGGAAAAGGGGCTGGCTAAAGAAACCCACCCTGACCCTGGAGCCCAGAACTAGGGAAAGATGGCTCAAATCAGGGAAGAAAGAAATATAGTTTGGCTCAGTAAGATCAGAGCCATCTTTGCTTCTGGCCAACTGACTTGTGAAACCAACCCATCACAGAGCAGGATAGTGGAACCCTGGGCCTGGGGTTGACTCCACCGCTAAGACTTCCTGTGTAAACCTGATCAGCCTAGTCAGTTAGAAAGAAGGTTGTTCTCTCCACCCTGGTAGAAGCAGCTACTCTCCTGGACTCCCTTCCCAAATAAATCTCCTCCTCAAAAGAGTTTTTTGTGTGTGTGTGTGAAGGTCTTCATTCACTGGCGTAGAGAAGATCCTGAGACATTCCCAGTGGACAAGAGAGAGAGAGAGCTGAAAGAGCAGGGTAAGGAGGAGCTGAACAGAAGATCTTTGCTGAGACATCTCTCAGTGGACAGAGAGAACTATAAATAACACTTTTCTCCAGAGCTGGAGGAGATTGCTCCATTTCTGCAGGGGTTTCCCCTTTCACAGAGTGAAGCAAAAGAAGCAACATCTTAGGCTGGAGAAGCAGAGCTCTGATAGGAAGCCCCCTTAAGTGGGGGCTGAGCAAAGCTCAGCTGTAGAGGCTCTCCAGGGGAGGAGCAGGATTGCTATATCCTGCGGGGAGACCATCCCCCATCATACCAGTTATACCTTGAGTCAGGATACTCTTCCCTGCTGAACCAGTTCCAGGCCTGACTCTTCCAAGAAGGCAGAAAAAAAAAATTTCCCTTCCAGGGTTGGGCTGTTTCTTTGCAGTCCCAGCTGTCAGAGCTGTCCTAAACAGCTTTAGGTGTCCGGGAAACTACAGGGCAGAGCTGTTGTTCAAGATACCTTGCCCTCCAGGGCTGAACTGTCTCCTTGCAGTTTCAGTAATCACAGCTGTGCTACACAGCTCCAGGTGTCCAGGACACCTTCAGGGCAGAGCTGTTGTTCTGAGCAGCTTGAGGTGTCCAGGATACCTCACCCTTCAGGGTTGAACTATCTCCTTGCAGTTTCAGCCATCATAGCTGTGCTTCATAGCAGAAGGTGTTGCCTGACTCCCCAGGTAGTCAGGACCCCAAACCCACAGAGATGCAAAACTTGCAAAACTCACATTCTGCAACCAATTTACCAACATTTTTGGTGAAGAAACCCGAGACACGAAACCCAGAGTTTTTGCACTCAGGTTACTAACACTTTTGGTGCAATTTACTAACACCAAACCCACAGAGTTGCAAAACATGCAGTTTACATACAGCCAGCACTACCATTGTAGGGAGGATTTTTAAAGCTTGAAAGACAGAACTTAGAGAGGTTTTGCTGTCTTAAGAGGTTTGTTGTTTTCCCTTAGAACTAATCACAGGTGGTCCCCATACTAATATCTTCAGGTGGTTCTAATTTGTCCTTCTGAGAGAGAGTTCTGAAAGGCTTTAGTTAAGTTTTTTAAGAAAAGCTTTTTAGTTTAAGAGAAAGATTTTTCCCCAAAACTTTAAACTTTTTGGCTTTTTACACTCCCATTTTTTGCCTCAGGGAGAAATCACTTTCTTCTGCTGCTTGGACTTAGCATGTCAGCTGTCCCCAGGTCAAAAGCTTCCATAGGAAACTTTTTCTTCCCCATAAGCTCAGAGAAGAACTTTTTTACTACCTGTAAAGCCCAAAGAAAGATTTTTTCCCCTAGTTTGCATTCAAAGCCCCTAAAGTTAGAAAATTGAAGAGTTTTTCTGTCTAGTTGCCTTATTTTTTTCTACACGATCTTACACTTCTAAGTTTTTCCTATACTATATTACTACCCTATACCTTATACTTATTTTTCACAGATAGAAATTTAGAAAGGGATAGAAGATAGAAAATTTTGACAGAAGAGAATTTTGCACTGCAGCATCAGACATCTTTCCAGTCTGCTTTCCTTTTCTCTCGAGGATAAAACCCCTGCCCCTCAATAATATGTATATAAAATATGTATTTTCCATAACACTGGCATGCCTTTCCACTGGCAAGGCTGACTCAGCACTTTCGCCAAAAACTCTGTAACAAAACTATTATTTTCCTTTATCTTTAGTCCCTATTACTTTGTCTTTAGCCCCTGTTCATTTGTCTTAGTACCCCCTTTTTTTCAGTCCCCCCTTTTTTTCTTTAGTCCCTATATATTTTTCTTTTTTCTTTAGCCCCTGTTCATGGTGCCATTCTGTGGGGCATTTACCCACCAACCCCACAGCTCCCCAGAGTTTTCTTGAGTGTGAGCAGCAGGAAATATTAGATAGAAGGATTTATATTGTGGAGATAAACAGATAGAAAATAAAGGATAGCCTCAAGAGGGCCTGGAACCTATTCCAATGGCCCCCAACTGTCTCTGACCCAGGGTATTTATAGAGATGCCAAGGGGTGGAGCAAAAGACCTCCTCCCCCAGCACAGCCAAGTGCAGACCATCTCAGACACCTGCACTCAGGCCCGTGGTCCTAATCATCCTCTATGAGGACATGCTGGGTAAATCCACGAGGAACCCGAAAACGGGCTCCCACAACAATCATCTCCCTGATTATCCACAGAATTGTGGTTGCTCATATGATTGAGATCTACACTTGATTACATATACATATTTAAGAAAATGCATGGTAATGAGGACATATCACAGCTGTTATTGCTCATGAAATTACAGATGGAAGCGAGAGTATTCAGAGTCAGTGGCCTGCAAGCCCTGCTTGACAGGGTACTCCATCTAGAATAATTTGTCTGGTGGGTTGATATCTGAATTATCAATTGCTATAAGCTTATTTGCATCCTGGCCCACAATAGCTTGTGACAATGGCTCCTGACAGGTGGCAATTTCTACAGTGTCCCATGCCTATCCACAAAATCATTATTCAAGACAATGTGTGAACAGACTGCAAACTCAGAGAGCCACCTGCCTTTGCCTTCTTAGAAACAGAGTAATTTTAAAGAAAATATTGAATGGCATTTTATAATATTGATTAAACACCTATAAATTATACATTCAAATCATAATTCCATCTAAAAATTGCTATAATTTTATAAAGACTGTAATAAACAAACTATATCTACCAGGAGAAATATTATAGAAGTTACTTTAGGCTTAATTATTCTGGAAAAATTTAATTCCAGAAAATCCATCTAGCATATAATCAAATGATAGAGGATCAGAACACCATTAGCTTTCCTTCCCTTTATGTAGAAACATTTTGGAAGCATAAAATTCTCTAATCAGGAAACACTTTCTTTGGATATTTTCCATGTTAAATCATAAAACACATTTCATTTTGTATGTTAAAAATGTTTAAAATCCCTCATATATAATCCCTTATTTACATCATTTCTTATGTATATAAATGTTTTGTCTGCATGTATGTACAAACACCATTTACATGTATTCTCTGCAGAGGCCAGAAATGGTCATCAGAACACCAGAAGGTGGAGTTATAGGAGGTTATTTATTATTTATTCACTGTGGTAGGAGGGAATGGAACCCAGATCCTCTGAAAGAATAGCAAGTCCTCTCTAACACTGAACTACCTCTTCAGCCCTGTTTAAGTATGTTAAAAATAACACTTGTTGAAAACATATATTACAATGCTGAAGAAAGAATCATGGTGATCAGAGAAATAATCATTTACAAATATGGAGAAGAAATTTTTTCCATATTTGATTTGGTGAACATGGTGAAATATAGTCATGTCATTTATAAGTATTCATTAATACTAAATACAGTGGGTATTTTTTGACCTAGTGAATAGCTTGTAAAGTTCTCAAATATCCAGAATTTCTTTTCCTAGTTTTTTGTAATTTTTAAATTTTACTTGTGAGAGTATAATATAATCACTGTGTAGGTCTCTGATAACACTATGGCCAGCAGAGTAACAATCCACATTAGGGAAGGAGGAAATCCAGTTCAACACAACTCAGTACCTTGTGATGATTCAAACTCTTACAGTCTGACAGTAAGTTGTTTATTTTAAGCATATTTAAGCACAATAAAATTTGGGAAAATGTTTCATGATATAACAAAATCTGTGCACATGGAGACAAAAATTACACCAAACTTTTCAAAGTACATGTCACTTCTTCTGTGAAGATGGGTTCTACAGATAGGCTACATGGGCTTTCTTAATGGTCTAGGGAAGAATCTTATATAGTCTTCATCATACAGATGGCATAGAAATCATCTGGGATATTATCTACCTCCAGGACTGATTATGGGAGCTTGGGAAAGCCCTTGACCATAATTAAGTGCAAAGGTAACCTAGACTATTAAGTTTATCCAGTCCTACAACTCACAGTTCCAGAGAAGCTAGGAAACAAGGAGGACCCTAAGAGGCACATACGGATCACCTTGGGAGGTGGAAACAGAGGAGATCTCCATGAGTAAACTGGGAATGGGGTGGAGCAATAGAAAGGAGGGGATGGGGGATGAGAACATGAGGGAACAGGATGGTTGAGCTGGAGCAGGGATGGAGTGGGAGAGCAATGAAAGAGATATCTTGATAGATGGAGACATTATGGAGTAAGGGAAAAACCTGGTGCTGGGAAACTCCCAGGAATCCACCAGGATGAACCCAGATTAGTCTACTACCATTAGTGTTGAGGGTGCCTGAACTAGCCTGTCCCAGAAATCAAATTGGTGAATACACTAACTGTCATCACAGACCTTCATCTAGTAATTGATGGAAGCAGATGCAGATCCACAACCAAGCACCAGTCGGAGCTCTGGAAGTCCAGTCAAAGAAAGGGAAGAGGGATTATATGAGCAAGGGGGATCAAGATCACGATGGGGAAATCTACAGAGACAACTGAACCAAGCTCATAGGAATTCTTGCACTTTAGACCTACAGTTGTGGAACCTGCATGGGAGCAGATAGACCCTCTGCATATGGGAGACAGTTGTGAAGCAGAGTCTGTTTGAGGGGCCCCTGGCAGTGGGTCAGGGTCTATCCCTGGTGCATGAGCCGGCTTTTTGGATCCCATTACCTATGGTGGGACACCTTGCTCACCATTCATGTACTGGGGAGGGGCTTGGTCCTGCCTCAACTGAATGTACCAGTCTTATCTGTCCCCCCGTTGGGAGAACTTACTCTTTGGGAGGAGGGGATGAGGAGTGGGTTGGAAGGGAGAAGGTGGTGGGGGAGCAGGAGGAGGGATGAGAGGGATGAGAGAGGGATCTGTGGTTGGTGTGCAAAATAAATTTTAAACTTTAAATAATAAATAAATAAAAGTTTATCCAGTCCTGCTTGTGGGAGCCTGCTATGGTCTGGCTATAGAAATAGTGCAAGGCACATTACATTTGTAAGGTTTATCTCCAGTACATATTCTTTTATAAACTTGAATTGTTGAGCTATCAGTAAAAGATTTTCCACACACATTACATTTGTAAGGTTTTCCTCCAGTGTGGACCCTCTGATGAACTTGAAAATTTGAGGCATTGTTAAATGACTTGACACATTCTTTACATTTATAAGATTTCTCTGCAGTGTGGATCCTCTGATGAATATGAAGTGTTGAACTCAGAGTAAAAGACTTGCCACATGTTTCACATATGAAAGGTTTTTCTCCTGAATCATTTCTCTGAGGAAGATGAAGAGAAAACCCACGGGCATAGGACTTGCCATACTCTGTACATTTGAAAGCATTCTCTTCAGTGTGAATTTTACAATGAGCTCTATATTTTGATTCATCTGAATGGAACATGTCATGCTCTGGACATTTGTATGATTCTTTTGTCATATGGATTTTATAATGCTCCTTAAGTACTGATAATGCAGAAAACAACTTTCCACATATTTTACATTTGCACATTTTTTTTCTAGTAAGAACCACATTAATTCTAAAAAAATCTGAGCATCTCCTGTAACTCCTCCCAAATTTCTTATAATTTTGTCCAACACTGAATCTTGGATTCCCCTCAAATTTTGGTGCGTGGATGAAATACTGTCTACATGCTTTGAATTTTGGTTGTTTCCCTTCAGTGTGGCTTGAGTCATTTTGAATAATTGAATGGAAATTGCAGGATCTTAATGGAAATGATGCAGAGTGGGCTTTTTGAAAAGTTGGAACTTCTTCATCTATTCTGTCAGGAATGTCAGTGACAGGTACTACAAAAAGATCATTTCCACAAAAAAAAAAGAAAGAAAGAAAAAAGAAATAGTGCAAGGATCCCCTAGGCTATGTACCTCCAGTCCCAGCCTTCTGGGCAGAAAAGAAGTTATATATCTTTTCCCTTGAAAAGACAACCATACTTGTTTAAATTTTCTGGTTCTCCTAGTGCTGTCCATGAGAACAAGTGCCTTTGCTTTCCCTCCAAATTACAACATTTCTATCTTCACTTTCCTCCCTCCAAACTCTTCTATATAACCCCAAACCCTGTTCCTCAAATGGAAAGCCTTTTTTTTACTAATTGTTATTTCATGAATATATGTACCTGTGTACACATAAATATTCCCAGATAAAATTGTCTCAATCCATAAAATGTTACTTGCATATCTGTTTTAAGGCTATCCATTTGGTACTAGACAACAAATTGCTGTGCTCTTCTCTGGGGAAGACTGTCTCTCCCACTCTCTGCTAATAGTCCTTTGTATAAGGTTGTGGCCTTGTAGGCTTTTCTTTGTCCAATTTGGCAAGCACATTGGTTTCATATGTCTACCTCACATTGATTTAAACCAAAATGATTAAAATTTGTGTAAAATTTATTTCTACTAGGATTATCACTCATGGAACAGCTGACATTAATGATTCTCTGTGAGTAAAGAATAGATTTTCACTGCAAAAAAATATAAAAATTTACTCAAATATTTAACAATTTATTGGTTAGACACAGAAGGAATATATTGAAGATAACAAGCTGCAATATATGTGCAATCTCAAAAAGTATCAAGGCATTAATGTTTATATTGAATATTACATAAACATCACATTACACTAACAATAGTATCACACTACACTAAAATATGTAAAATCTCAAATAGTGTTAACTTTTGATGGTTCTTTAACAGTATCCCAACATATGGTCAGAAAAAATGTTACTGTTTAAGTCATTTCTAGTAGGAAATTATAATAATTAGTAACATTTAGTGTTTGAAAAATAACTCTATATCATTGTTTCATAAATAATTCATTTTCCAACAAATTTTTATGACTATAAATTACCTCTCTGGATGGAATGTTTAAAATTTATAACAAATGTAGAGCATCCTAAAGAGGCTTCCCATATACTGACTATGGTTTGAAAATTAATTGATGGCTTTGAAAATGTGTAAGAAGCTGGTCCCTCTATAAAGACTGGTACAGTGAATTATCGTGAGATAGTCTAATAACATTTACAAAGCTTTCTCCATTATGTGAATTTTCTGATGCTTTTTAATACTTGAGCATCTGGTTAAGGATTTCTGACATTTTTTACATTTGTATGGTTTGTCATGATATGGATTCAGTGATGAGAGTAAAGACTTGAGAAATGGGTAAAGGACTTGCCTCATTCTTTACATCTGTAAGGTTTATCACCAGAGTGGACTCTGTGGTGAGCTTGAAGATTTGAATGATGGACAAAGGACTTGCTACATTCTTGACGTGTAGTGTTTGTCTCTGGTATGGATTCTATGATGAGAATGAAGATATGAGACCTGGGAAAGGAAAATTCCACATACTTTATATTTCTAAGGTTTCACTTTTGTATGAATTCTGTGGTGAGCTTGAAGACTTGAGTCCTTAGCACTTGAAGACTTAGCACATTCTTCACATCTGTAAGGTTTGTCACCTTTACGAATTCTGTGATAAGTGTGAAGATTTAATAAATGGACTTGCCACATTCTTTACATCTATAAGGTTTGTCACCAGTGTGGATTCTGTGATGAACTTGAAGAGTTGAGTGATGGGTAAAGGATTTGCCACATTCCTTACATCTGTAAGGTTTGTCACCAGTATGAGTTCTGTGGTGAGCTTGAAGACTTGAGACCTGAGTAAAGGATCTGCCACATTCTTTACAACTGTAAGGTTTGTCACCAGTATGGATTCTGTGGTGAGCTTGAAGAGTTGAGTGATGGGCAAAGGACTTGCCACATTCTTTACATTTGTAAAGTTTCTCTCCTATATAGACTCTCTGGTGTCTCCTAAAGTTTGAGTAGTTCTGGAGACATTTTCCACATTCTTCACATGTGTAGGATTTCCTGAATTTTATTTTACATTTCTCATATTTGTTGGAGTTCATCAAAGGATGGATTTGATGTTATGTTCTATGAAGTGAAAACTCTGTAATGGCCTCATCACTTTGTTGTGTTTGTATGCCTTTTCTCTGGGATCAATTATCTTTTGATCAGTGAGGCATGAACATTCATTGATGCACTTTCCACATTCTTTATAGAGAATTCTTTCTCTTCAGTATGAAGTATCTTATATCTTAAGAGGTATGTAGATTTCCTAAAGCATTTTTTACATAAATTACATTTCATTGGTTTCTCTCCAGCATGGAATATTAGATAACCTAGATTTAAAGGAGAGGAAAAAGATTTACCATAGTTTTTTTATTTCTGGGTCCTCTCTTCCATGTTCCTTGAATGATTCTGAATAAGGCTTGAACACAGATGGAAGGATTGATCACATTCTTGACTATGTCTGTAGGAAGTTTCTATTAATAGTTCTTCTGAATGTAACAGTTTGAGCATCCATCAAATGCTCTGTCATGTTTATAGCTTATATAAAGCTACTCTTGGGTCTGGTCAGACTGGTACCTAAAAAAGTCTTTGTTATAATCAAAATTCCCTTTACAGTTATTGTTTTTCAAATGACCCTCAGGGAAAAAAACTCCTTTATCCTGTGTATTAGTAAGTATTAAGTCCTGCATAAAGACATACCCTGAGGCATTGTCTTGAGAAGTTGACCCAATAAGATAAGAGTTCTGGTACTATTCTTCACAGAGCTCTCTGCAAAAGCTTTAATAACATCACTAGATGTTGTAAGACTTTTCACAACAAGAAAGACTATGATACCTTTCAGCCACATGTGATTGAGACAAGCCTTCTCATTGTAGATCTAAATTGAATAACTTGTCACAAAATGGAATTACTTGTTGAGGGAACTCGAGTCAATGTTTAGTAGAATATGTGTCATTCTGATTACACAGAGAAAAGAGTTCTTTACTTGTGGCTCTCTTTTTCTCAAAAACTGCTAAAAGTACAGTTTAAACTCACAGTACATCAAAAATATTTTGAAGAATTAACTGTATTGTACCATGTGTCACTTCTCAGAGTTTTCAAATTACTGTGTATAATTAAAACATGTTTTAAAACTGTATGTAAATGGTTCACTACTAAAAAAATCTGCTTGTGAAAATGTAAAACCTATCTTCCCCACATACCTGGAACATCCTTAAACAAAAGGTATTCAGGTCACTACTTCTAAATACTCCTGACATCACTTTCTGTATAGAATTTTGTATGTTCTGTGAAATTATGTATTGAGTATAATGGAAACACAGATATGGAAGAAGGAAAAATATATAATTGTCTGAATTAGCCAACTTGGGTTGAGTTTTTTGGAATATAAGACATAATATAAAATTTTACAAATATGTAGACACATATGCAAGATGGCATACTTAAAAACTTCAGATCTTTTGTTCTTAAAATATCTTCTTATGTCAGTAGATAGATGTTTCACAAATTTATGAAATAACTTATTAAAAATGTATTGACATTAATTATGTTAAGGTAGACATTTCAAATAATTTTTTCAGAATAGGCACACACCTTTAATCTCAGCACTTGAGAGGCATAAGGCAGGAAAAATTGCTGTGAGTTCAAGGCCAATCTGATCTACAGAGCAAGTTTCAGGACAGCCAGGACTGCACAGAGAAACCCTGTCTCAAAAAAATCAGAGTAATAAATACAACTGTGAGGTGTTTGAACGAGATGCCCCAATTCTGGGAGCCCACAGTGACTCAGTTTCCTACAGTTACTCAGCTTGAAGCTAAAGTCCATTTTGACTCAAAAGAGTTCAAAGCTTACTTGCTCTAGTCTCTTCAGAAGCTGTGAGGAAGCTCTGATAAGGCTCCTGGGAAAAGTAAAGGGGCTGTGAGACAGTTCTGATTAGCTTTGTGGGAAAGAACTAATTATTTAGCAAATGCTCAATTCCAGGCAGACTGCTGAAGTTAGCAGGTGGCATATGTTTGAGACAATGAAACTACCTGTTCTTGATTCAAGGACGGGCTGGACCGCCTGTGCTATGCTTTGTTCTGCTGTTGCTTTTCAGTTTTGTACATAAGATGGCTGTGAAATAAACTCAGGGCTTTTCTGGTACTGACCAGAAGCCCTCCCAGCACTGATTTTCTGTTTCTATCTATTCTTCTGTCTCTGTTTTTTCCTCAGCCTCACGCCCTACTCAGCTACCCTAGTTGACTCATCAGATGGCTCTGACACCCAATATATTCAGACATATGAATTTTTAGCCTTAAGTTGGTGGAGTTTTATGGGTAGGATTAAGAGGTATCCCCTTACTGGAAAAAGTATATATCTGGGCACTGGCTTTGAGATTTGAAAATCCTCCTATTGTAACCAGTGAGCTCTCTCTGCTTCATGTTATAGTTCTAAATGTGAGCTCTCACTGCTGTTCAAGCCCACTGACAACTATTACCTCTGATTCAATATCATGAATCTTTCTTCAATAAATTGTCTTTGTTGTGGTTCTTTATCACAGTAATAGAAAAATAAGTAAAATAAGTCTATAACCTAATAGTAAAAAAATGCATTCACAGAGATCCGCCTGGCTCTGCCTCCCGAGTGCTGGGATTAAAGGCGTGCGCCACCACCAAAGCGAGTTCCAGGAAAAGCGCAAAGCTACACAGAGAAACCCTGTCTCGAAAAACCAAAAAAAAAAAAAAATGCATTCATTATGAAACTGTATGTTCAAAATGGACACAACTCATCTCTATAAACCAACAAAATGAATAAAGTGAGTAATATTAATGAAGAAGATATAATATTAATAAGGTAAAATGGACATGAACATGAGAAATCAATTATTTTCCACCAGCCCACAGAGAATCATGTACTTAACAAGGAAGGGTTCCCAAAATTTCAGACTTCAAGAAAATTCGATAGGACTCAACATTTCATCAGAAAGAGAATTTTTCCCCATTTTTCACTATTGAAATAGATTTTTCTCATATAATATATACTGATTATGGTTTTTCATTCTTCAACTCCTCTTGGATCCTCTCCATCTTGCTTCCTATCTTAATCCACCCTCTTTCTGTCTCTTCTTAGAAAATAAATGAACATCCAAAGAACAACAGTAAAATAAAATAAAATAACATAAGCAAATAAATCTGATAGGAGCAAACAGAGGAAAAATATGCCAAAGAAAAAGTACAAGAATCATATATATGACAATAGACACACACTTACACACAAACTAATTGCATAAAAACAAACAATAAACCACCCTAGATGCCATAGTATATACACAAAAATTCTGTAACACACACAATAAAAATTAAAAATTAAACTAAATAAATTAACAATAAACATTATGGGACAAAAAATATCTAAGTATAACATTGCACTATTTTGTTGTTGGCCATCTACTGCAGGGCACGTTGACTATCGTTAAGAGTTCTTTTTTCCCCTTGATACACCATTGGAGAATACTAATTCTTCATCTGTGAGTTGTTATCAGTTGGAGATAGCTTAGGAATGATTAGGGTAAAATACTTTTTTATCCAGTGTGTATTTCTAGCTTCTTTAGCAAAATAAGGAGTCCATTGGTGAGTGGAATTATAGCTATGTCTACAATTTGATTTTATTGATCAATGTATATGTTATTGAGCAATATTTCTTGGTCAAAACCTGATTATTAAAATAACTCTGTAGTATAATATGAGAATAGGAATTGTGATAGCTCCAATAGTTATTTTATTTTTCATGATTGTTTAAGCTATCATGAGGTTTATTTGTGTGTTTCTATATGATGCTGAAGACTCTGTTTTCAAGATCTGGGAAGAATTATGTTAGAATTTTGATGGTGATTGCACTGAATATGTAGATTGTTTTTGACAGGATTGTTATTTTTACTACATTACTTGATCAGTCCCTGAGCATGGGAAATTTTCCCATCTTCTGGCATCTTTTTCAATTAATTTCTTGAATGCTTTAAAATTTGTATACAGGTCTTTCATTTGTTTATTTACAGTTATGAAAGGCAGCATATGACTGATTTCTAAGTCCTTTTTTCATTTGTATATAGAAGTGCTACTTATTTTTGTGAGTTAATTTTGTATCCCACTAACTTTGAGGAAAGTGTTTCTCAGCTGTAGGAGTTTTCTGGTAAAGTTCTTATTGTCATTTATGTATAATATCATCATACCATGTGTAGATGAGTTTCTTTGAATTCTTCCTTTCCTATTTGTCACTTTTCCTATTTATCACTTCCTTGATATCCTTTAGGTGTCTTGTTGCTCTACATAAGATTTCAAGTACTATACTGAATACATATGAAGTGAGAGGACATTTTTGTATTTTTCCCTATTTTAGTGGAAATGCTTTGATTTTCTCTCCATTTAATTTGATGTGGGCTGTTGGCTTGCTGTAAACTTAAAGTATGTCCCTTGTATCCCAAAACTCTCAAGGACTTTGGCTTTTCTGAATGTAATGAGATGATCATATGGGGTTTGTCTTTCAGTCTGTTTATGTGTAGGATTATATTTATTGGTTTACATTTGTTGAACCATCCATGCATATCTTGGGAAGCCACTTAACTGAGCATAAAGGATGTTTTTGATGTGTTCCTGAATTCAGTTTGAAAGTATTTTTTCAAAAAATTTTACTTCTATGTTTATAATGAAAATTGTCTATCACTCATTTTCTTCATGGATCTTTATGGGGTTTAGGTATCAAGATAGCTAGCCTCATGAAAAGAATTGGACAATGTTCCTTCTGCTTTTACTGTGAGGAATAATTTGAGGAGTATTATTGCTAATTCTAGGAGAATTCTTAAAAGTTAAATTACCTCTACTATCATTATTCTGCTAAATGAACATAGTATTAAAATTATTTCGGATGCATTATTGTTTTCCAACAGACTATTGCATCTCTCAGCTTTAATCAGAGAAGGTTCTTGCAGAACTGGACAGATAAAGGAGAGATCCACAAGTATGTTATGTTGCAGAAAATAAATGTTCAGGTTTAAGTGTGATGTATATACCAAAGCTGTTCCTTGCAATGCTCAGAATTTATTCAAGACAGAGAGATAAAAGATGGTAAGGGCCAGAGCTGATGGATGACTACAAGAAAACAGTGTTTGTGCACAAAACATATTTAATGATTTTTTTGCATAAATAAAATTACATATAAATTGCTACAGAATCAAAAGGCAAAGAAACAACTATGCAATTTTCAAAAATGAGTAGAGCTGTAAAATTTTCTACTTCCTGCTTTCATTAAATATTACATAACAATGAAAACCATGTAATGCAGGCATGAAAGCATAAAAAAGACATGAAATGATAAAGAGGAATAGTCTATCATACACAGTCAAAATATGGCTTGAATGAGTTTTCATTTCAAGATAATTAAATTAAGGACTCACTAACATTCTAGGATATGGCAATGAATCATCTTCCATATTCTTTAAGGAGATTATTAAAAGTTTATTTTTAGATCATTTCAAGTGAAGAAGATCTTCACAAATCCCACTACAGGTCTGAATTCTTACTTGCCTTCAGTGTCCCTCCTATGCAATTGCTTTATTCTGACTTATCTTGTTCTTTGTCTTCTGTGTGTCCTGTGTTCACCTTCCAGGGCTCTTTGTTTTGTTCAAGAGAGTTGATCAGCTCTGGTTTTGTTACTGTGAGACCTATGAATTAAGAGAAACATATGACCCTTTCTGGAGATAATAATGAAAGTACACCAGTTTCTAATACACCACTGTACTGATCAAATAAGGAGTTTAAGTTGTAAAATTTCCTAATTGCCATCTCCTGATATTTTAAAATATTCAAAAACACTTTTGTTAATATTGCATACCTGAGTTCCTTTTCAGATTCCTAAGCAGCTCAAGGTGTTGGCTGACTCCCCAATTAGTCAGCATACCTTTGCCCAGAGTTGCAAAACTCACATTTTGGTGCCAAAACCTGGGACCAAACCCACAGAGTTGCAACAAATTTACTTACATTGTTGGTGCCAAAACCCGAGATAGACTCCCTTGGTGCCTGTGCTCTCCCATTGTGTCTGATCCACACTAGGACTCTATCCCTTATCCCCTTATCTCCAGTCCATCTGCAATAGACCAAACTTCTGTCTCACCAATCACTCAGCATTCCATTCCACAGTGTCAATTAGGTGAGTTCCCCTTTTGATCAGTGTAAACATTTCCCTGGGTCTGAGGAAGTGACCGTTGAGTGTCCAGTACCCCTCTAGTACTCTTGGAAGTGGAGGTACCCCCAGCCATGGTCTTTAAGGTTACAGCTGGCCCTCTTCACCTGACCACACACGCCCCCCCCATCCTCAGAGCTACAATCAGGCAGTTATAAGAATCCCTTCCTGTGCTCTCCTATTTTCCCACAAAAGGAGCCACAAAAGTCTCCCTTTTTCAGCCCTTTCCTCTGGATGAGTCCTTCCCCCAGAGCTCTGTTTTCTCTGGCCCTCTCACTTCTACAGAAGCCCTGATACCAAGCACCTGAGTCTCTCCATTGGCTTAGTCAGGCTAAGCTGGACCCCTGTTGAGTTGGGTGATGACCCTCTGAATGGGTTGGTCCCTGTTCAGTCCTCCCTGAGTCCAGGGGACACCTGTGAATACAGGCTGTGTGACTATTTCCCTTGCCTCTCATCCATGGGAACTCTGCACTCCATACCCTCCCATATGCCCTTGAGATGCCTCCTAGAAAATCTCAAGCCTTTACACCTGGCACCTGATTTGAAAGGCCCTAAACTTGTTTGCCTGTGCAATAAAGTTTGGCCTCATTATCCTTTAGATAATCAATCTAAATGGCTGCATAACGACACACTAGATCCCAATATTATATGGAACCTTTACAACTATTGTGAGTAATTGGGAAAATGGAAAGAGACCCTATATGTAAAAGCCTTCTCTTACCTTTGCTCCAAGCCTTCTCTCTCTGTGTGCCTCTGTTCTTCCACCCAGCTCTTGCTAGCTATGAAATCAGAACAGGATTAAACTATTTCTTTTGATCCAGCTAATGAGCCTCCTCCTTATAAACCAAAACCAAAGCCCACAGCTCCTTCTCTTCCAGTCCCTTCAGTTTCCCTTTCTCCCTCCTCAGAAACAGGTCATCCACCAAGTCAACTCTCCCTGGCACCCACTTTCAACTCACCGACAGTCCCTAATCCTCCTGCTACTCATTCCCACTCTACCTTGGGACCTCCTGTACCTCCTCAATATAAATCAGCCCCAGTTCTCCCTTTGTGAGAGGTTGCTGGGAGGGATGGTTTAGTCAGAGTAAATGTCCCCTTCTCATTATCTGAGCTACCCCCTCCCCAAAGAAAAAAGGTTAGGGTCCTATACTGCCAATTCTTCCACTTTTATTAAAGGATTCCAGTACATTACCCAATCCTATGACTTACCCTTCACAATGTTTGTATGATCCTTACCAACAATCTCCTCCTAGAAGAGGTAGGCGAGTCTGGGATCAGACTAAATCCATGCAGATGAACTCCATCAAACAGATAACACCTACTGGTCTAGGGCAGTCCCAGATCAGGAGCCTGGATGGGATTACAATAACTCAGGAGACATCCTAGCTAGGAATAGATTTGTAACTTGTCTCCTAGGTGGTCTCCACAAAGCTGCCCTTAAGGCAGTAAATTATGAAAAAGTCCAAAGGGTCATCCAGGAAAAACTTAAAAGCCATCTGAACTTCTCAACTACTTTACAAAGGCCCTCTCACAATGTACCAACCTGGATTATGAGACCCCAGATGGAAAGCATCTCCTTATGAAGTTACCTTTGGGTTACCCATTACTGTCTTTTCTCCTCACCATCTGTCACACCTTTTATCATATAAGGGCCTCCAAATATTACCTCCCTCTCAAGTTTTCTCCATTCAGGTGGCATTGGTAGAGGACACAACAATGACTTTTCAACCATGTCCACCTCTTAACATTTCAAATCTTCTCTCCCAACCATCACACTCATTCATTGAGACTCTAGAAGAGTAACTACCCTATCCAATACATATGCAGGAAGGAGCACTACCTCAGGCCACTTATACATGGTATACAGATGGTAGCGCCTTCCTATAGGAAGGAGGACATGGAGTAGGATATGCAATCATCTTAGACACCATAGTGGTCAAAACACAAGCTCTTCCAGCCCATACCACAAATCAGCAGGCTGAACTGATAGTTCTAACCCATGCTCATCAATTAGGAAAGAGACAACCTCAAAAACTATATACAGACCACCAATCTGCTTCTGGTCTCAGAATAATGAGACCTCATCAAATGCCCTACTTCTTATCCTTCTACTTCTTACCACTCACTCATATTGCTATCAAAATTGGAGATTTAAGGTTCAGGAGACATATGCCCAGCAGTTCAACCAGACCACTCATGTGATAAGGTCTGGAGACTGCTAGAAACATAATGTATATGCAGGAAGACACTCTGCCTGTTACGAAGAATGGGGAATCTTTTACATTCTGATTAAAGACCCATAGCACCCCAACTGGAAAATGGGAGTCAGTGGGAAGCTTTACTATAGCATCAATCAAACCTGCCCACCAGATATGCTCAAAATATAGAGGGCACACATTCTACTCTCTCAATCCCTAGGAATAGATAGAGTAGAAGTGATCCAAGATCCTCAAAGGTTCTTACATCCTTAATGTCACCCTTTTTTGATCCTACCTCCTTGTTCTATCCACTTGATATCTCTATACAGTGGATCACTAATAGACAGATATGGAAATGAATTCTACCCTTCTTATCCCCTCTTTTCTTCCTTTTCTTAGTCCTATTAATTGCACCCTGCCTCATAAACCTCTTGGCTAGATTTCTTCAGCAACAGACCCAAAATATTTCTAACTAAACTCTGAACCAGTTAATATTACAGAATTACCAGGCCTTATTGACAAAGCCAGAGATCTGCAGAACCTAGTTACATCCTGAAGAAGAAGATCAAGATTGTCCCAAGAAACTCAACAGCCCAATTCAGCAGGAAGCAGTCTAATGATAACTTTACCCCCTTTCCAAATCCCAGCTGCTTATTATTAAACAAAAAGGGGGAATGTAGAAAAAGGGGGCTGGCTAAAGAAACCCACCCTACCCTGGAGCCCAGAACTAGGGAAAGATGACTCAGATAAGGCCAGTGAAACACAGTTTGGCTCAAATCAGAGCCATCTTTGCCCCTGGCCAACTAACTTGTGAAACCAACCAATCACAGAGCAGGACAGCAGAACCCTGGCCCTGGGGTCCAATACCAGGGAAAGAAATACAGCCTGGGTTTGGGACCTGAGCCAGAAAAATGAACCAAGGAAATATGCCCTGACTCTGAAATCAGTACCAAAGAAACACTCTTGATCCCTAGAATCAGAGTCAGTAAAAGAAATGTGCGCTGGCCTTAGAATTAGTGTCCAAAAAAAGCTAAATAAGGCTAGTGAAAGAAACACAGTTTGGCTCAAATCAGACCATCTCTGCCCCTGTCCAACTGACTTGTGAAACCAATCAATCACAGGACAGGACAGTAAAGCCCTGAGCCCCAAGTCAACCCCTGGTTGACTCCACCCCCAAGATATCCTATGTAAACTGCCCTGCCTGGTCAGTTAAAAAGAGCTGCTCTCTCCACTCTGGTAGAGGAAGCCACTAGGAAACCCATCAAGTAGGAGTTGAGCAAAGCTCAGCTGTAGTAACTCTCCAGGAGAGGAGCAGGATTGCTATATCCTGCAGGGAGATCATCCCCCATCATACCAGGTATAGCCTGACTCTCCTGAACAGTCAGGATACCCTTCCCTGCAGAGTTCTCCTGGCAGCTCCAGGCCTGACTTTCCCAAACTGTCAGGATACCCTTCCCTGCTGAAGTAGTTCCAGGCCTGACTCTCCTAAGCAGTCAGAAAATTTCCCTTCCAGGGTTGGGCTGCCTCTTGGCAGCTCCAGTCATCAGAGCTGTCCTAAGCAGCTCCAGGTATCCAGGACACCTCCATGGCAGAGCTGTCCTGAGCAGCTTGGGGTGTCAGGAATACCTCGCCCTCTAGGGTTGAGCTGCCTCTTTGCAGCTCCAGCCACCAGAGCTGTCCTAGGCAGCTCAAGGTGTTTCCTGACTCCCAGGTAGTCAGGACACCTTTACCCAGAGTTGCAAAACTCACATTTTGGTGGCAAAACCTGGGACCAAACCCACAGAGTTGCAAAAATATTTACTTACATGACTTAATCTAAATTCAAGTATGTTATGAAATATTAAGATAAAGATCAAAATATAATCTAAGAAGTATCTGAAAGATAAAACATACTATAAAAGATTAGAGGATGCTTGTCAGCACCAAGACAGGTGAATATGTCAAGGCAAAGTTACTTAAAATGTTGTTATATGTGATGAATTCCATGGATGTCAAGAAAACAAGTCAGACACAATGAAAAACATACCTGAATTGAATAAGAATAATAAACAAAGAATCATAGAAGAAAAATAGTCTTACCCATAGAGACCAGGTTGCTGTAGTTCTTCAACATGATATTCCTGTACAAAGCCCACTGTGTAGAGTCCAGACATTCCCATGCCTCCTGAGAGAAGTTGATGGCCATATCCTCAAATGTCAATATGCTCTGTCATGAAAGATAACAGTTTTATCATGTACCTAGGTGTAAGGTTCTTTACTTCACCTAAGGAAACATAAGTAAAGTACAGAAATTAATCTGTTTTTATGTAAGCATTATTTTAAAAGATATACTCTAAATTATAGTCTATACTAACAAAACTGTATACTGGAAATATGAAAGGTCAAATGATGTGAGACCAAAATAGCTGTTAGATTCATTGGCTACAATGGGATCTGTGAATGAGAGGCAAATTATCTTTATGTGTTATTCTAGGCAAACTCAGTGTGAATCAACAGTTAAGGCCCTCCATTCCTCTCGAAAAATTGTTGCTGGTAGAACAGGTGGTTGGAGAGATATGTCCTGTATCAATGCAATTATAGCTAGATACACTGCCCAGATCAGGATGTGGAGCAAGAGACAGAACTGCCATATCCAAGACAGAAGGAGAGATTCTTCCTGCACATGGTTCCAATGACATCAGTGGGAAAGACCAGGAAAGGACTGTCTCCTATACCCTTACAATGACACCACATGTGAAGTGAGCTGGAGAGAGACCAGGTTCTAAGGTCTGATTACATGCTGGGTTCACTTTGGGTAAACAGATAAGGGACAAGTACAGGTAGTAGATTGAGTAGATGATGCATGCCATGCAATTCTGAAGTTGACTGCCCTGAAGTTTCAGTGTTCCATGCTTTAAAGAAACAAGAAGAGTATGAGAACTGATGTCTACAAGTTTATTCACCACAATTGTACCAAGAAATCAACAACAACAACAACAAAAGAAATTTATTAAACTGCTCTGTAGACTGCAATCCCACAGTCTGGTTTTCTAGATTTGATCCAGAGTTACAAACTACAACTTTTGCTTCAGCACAGTTTGCTATGTGAAGCTACACAAGGATAGAAGGAAGCAAAAAAGAGTGCACCAATGGCATGCCCTGATTAACAGTGTAATACATTATTCATTGTACTTTCCATATTCTCTATCTCTCATAATTCTCTAACATATTAACTAATATACACACATACCTTAATTACTTTCTTTTACCTTTTATGTTGGTATGTTATTTACTTAGGTTTTATGGCTTTTCTGTGTTCTGTAATGCACTGTTGTCTTCTATTCTTACTCTTTAAACCTTGTTCTTTCTCTCTCATTTCAATATTATCTTTTCTGTCCCTCTTTCCCATTCTCTGCTCTCTCATTTCAGGTGTAGCCTCCTGTAGCTGGAAGTTTTCCTGTGTCCCAGCCAGCTAGTGGTCAGGACAAATCTCTCCCACTCATGGCCTGCTTATAAAATAATCACTCAGAAACTTATATTGATTATAACTTCTTGGCCATTAGCTCAGAATTATTACTGACTAGCCCTTACACTTAAATTAACCCATAATTCTTACTTATGTTTAGCCACATGGCTTGGTACCTTTTTTCAGTTCTGCCTTGTCGTCTTGCTTCCTCTGTGTCTGACTGGTGACTGACTGACTCAGCCTTCCTCTTCCCAGAATTCTCCTTGTCTACTTATCCCACCTATACTTCCTGCCTGGCTACTGGCCAATCAGCATTTTATTTATCAACAAATCAGAGCAACACACATTCACAGCATACAGAATGGAATTCCACAGCAGCCTCCCATAGCTTCAGTAATGTTAAACACTGTGGATCCTAAGAATATTGCTAGTTTACTTCTATCTATATTTTCTCCTTGAATTATCATTGGTTTAATACTGATTTCTGACATCAAACAAATGATCTTCCATTCAGATATCATAAGTTATTTTTAAGGCATACTCTACTCTCCTTGTCATTTTATCAATTCAAAGTTTCATAAACAAACTTGATGTTTTTAAAGATTCCTTTCCGTGTTTATGATTTTCTATAACTTAATAATTTCCACTTATAGTATCTTGAAAAAAAAAAAACAAGTCACATAGTAACTGGTTTTGGAAAGCTCAGTCCTAAGTGGGACACCTTTATCACCAAAATGAAGGGAACATTGCAAGAGAAGTATCAGAATGTTTATAAGAGCTAGAGGAGGCCCCAGTTGGCTGGAAGACAGCCACCCAGGGTCCCCCACGTCCTGGTTGGCAGGAAGACAGCCACCCCTGCCTGATGCTTAGCTGCTCAGATTGGGGCTAGCCAGCCAGGGCCCCCAAGAAGACAGCCACCCAGTGTCCCCAAGACCCAGCTTGTGGGAGGGCAGCCACCCAGGGCCCTCAAGGCCCCCACTGGCAAGAAGACAGACACTTGGGTTCCTCCAGGCCACAACTGGTTGGAAGACAGCCACCTTGGTCCTCAAGGTCCTAACTGGCAGGAAGACAGCTGCCCCTAGTGAAGCTTAACTGCTCAGATAAGGGCTAGACAGCCAGGGCCCCCAAGACCCTGCCTGGCAGGAAGACAGCCACCAGGCATCCTCTAGATCCTGGCTGGCAGGAAGACAGCCACCCTGCCTGATGCTTAACTGCTCAGATGGGAGCTAGTGGGCCAAGGTCCCCAAGGCCCTGGCTGGTGGGAAAATAGCCACCTGGGGGACCTCCAGGCCCTGGCTGGCAGGAAAACAGCCACCCAGGGTCCTTAGGCCCAGGCTGGAGGGACAGCCACACCTACCTGATGCAGGTTTGCTCAGCAGCCTGGGTCTTTGGGCATGTGGGTCCCTATTTTGAGGAAATAAGGGGTGGAAAATTGGGAGAGTTAAAGAAATGGAATGGTTCATACGCCCAGGAAGGACACATAAAGCAAGAAGGTAGATGAAGACTGGGCAAATGTTGGAGGCCAGCTTGCCACCTGGGTCTATGGCAATGACAGTGAGGAGCAGACTGAGGAAGGAGGTCTACTTACCACCTGGGACCATTGCGATATCCGGAACAGGCTACTACCAAGGGCCATGTGTGGTTCTTGGGTCCTAAAGTGGCCAGGGTCTATGTTGATTGATATCCATGGCTCCTTTGCTGTCAAGTGTCATGCTGACTCCAGGGTTTCTGACCACCTCCTGGGTCTGATTTCAGGTCCACAAGCCATGCTGCTACTGGGCTGTACTGATCTGGGTGACCTTTGCAGTCACCTGGCAACAACCAGGCCTAGGCTGCTGCCAAGGACCATGTCTTTGCCCTTGGTCCTACATCAGCTGAGGTATATGTTGATGCACATGTCCCCACAGTGCCACCAAACGCCACATGAAACCTGGAGTCTGGGCTAAATCTTGAGGACTTGTTGGTCTCCAGGATCCATGCTGCCGCCAACAGAGCCATCCTGATCTGAGTTCCCAGAGCTACCACTGGGAACAAGGATTTTGACCAGGCTAAGCTGCTGCATGAGGCCATGTCTGGGTCCATGGCCCAATAGTAGCTGGGGTCTACACTGAACTCTGTGGTTGCCATTGGGATGCAAACAGAGCCAAATATCTAGGCTGGAGCCTGTGGCTTGGGTGGAGTCAGGGGGACTATGTCACAGCAGGGGCCATTCAGATGTGGGAGGCCTATGCTTCCACCAAGGCAAAGGTGTCATCTGGGCCTAGGTTGCCTTCCAGGGCCATATGTCAGTGTCTGTGGCCCAACTACAGCTGATGTCCAATGCTCTTGTTGCCATTGAAGGCTATGCAGACATGCAAGATCAAGGGCCAAGTTAGTGTCTAAGGGCCATGCCTCTACTGGGGACAGTGGTGATGTTCAAACCCAGCTGCTGCTAAGGACAATGATGGGGTCCATGGTACCACTGTGGCTGGGGGTCTGACCTGAGGTCTGGGTCTTGCATTGCAACTAATGGTCATGCAGAGTCCCAGAGTTGGGGCCACAACCTGAGGCCTTGGTGGTATCTGGTGACCACACGGCTACTGTAACCATTCCCATCTGGATGGCCATTAATTCCACCCAAAGCCAAGATGTCCTACTAAGCTGCTGCCAAGGGCTATGTCTGGGTATATGGTCTAGCCACAGCTGGGATCTGTGTTGGTCTCTATAACCAGTGTAACCTCAGGAGACCTTAGGAACCATGAGAGATTAAATCGGAGGGCTATATTGAGCCAATCCCCCCCACACACCACTGCCCTGGAAAAGTTGGACTAGCCTCTTGTAGGCCACTACAGCAAGAGAGCTGGCCCTTGCATTCAGGAGAGAGGGCCCCCACCCCTAACCATAGGCAAGGATGAACCTAAACAGGGGGCATGCATGTAAGGGAGCTAACTCTGCCAGCACACCAAGTGACTCAATCTGACCTGCCTGGCTGACATCCAGGCCCACAACTGGGCTTTGGGTTGACCCTCCCTAGCATCTACCCCATCTAGGTCCTGATGAGGCTTGTGAAGGGACTGATCCTGCTGAATGATACCCACAAGATCTCCAAGACACAGGATACCCAAGAAGAGCTCTAGAGAGGATCTGGTGAGGATAGTGTACCAAAAACTAGAAGCTTTGAACCAGACCAATGACTCATTGCAAGGAACAGTTGTCACTCAAGCTGATAGGACAAAGGGGTATACCAAAAGCCTCCAATGCCATCAGGACAGATAAAGAGGTGATGGAGAGTCAAGAGAGAAGGAAAAGAAGTTTTTCTCTTTCGGGTGTGGTTTTCATTCTGTTATGGTTTATTAGTTCTTTGTTGTTTTTGTTCTTGCTTTTATTTGCTTGCTTGCTTTTTTTGCTTTCTTTCATGAGGGATGAGGGGATGATGGGGAATTAGGGAGGTGAACAGAACTGGGGTACATGATGGGAAACCCCCAAAGATTCAACAAAGAAGATTAAAAAAATAGTGGGAATACTTGGCATGTGTTTATACCTTCTTATACATTTAACAAAATCCTAAAATATTGAAAAATATAAAGAATACAATAAACAAAAACATTTTAAATAAAAAAATAGCCAGAGGATTTGGAGGGCTATTGTAAATTCCGTGTTTTGGATATGAGACAGCCAATATAAACATGAACTTAAAACAGATGCATATAAATTCAAAATACCTGTAGAAAATGGAACTGTTCAGTGTTCCCTTCTGGAGAGAAGAGGTTCTTACAAGGCTT